GGAGACTCCGTACGGTCCCAAAGATCCACCCGACCGAGAACGCGATTCGAGGCGCTCCTTGCGATCGGAGAGGATTGGCACAACTGGCACCACGTCTTCCCGTACGACTACGCCGCCAGCGAGTTTGGCATCGCGTCGCAGTACAACCCGACCAAGCTCTTCATTGACATTTGCGCCTACGTCGGCCTTGTCACGAACCGGAAGCGCGCGCTCAAGGCGTGGGAGGCGCGGCGTGCGAAGCGCGAGACCGTCGACGCGTTCGACATCCCGGACGGCTACGAGCTCAAGGAGGGCGAGTGCGAGGACGCGGCGCCCAAGGCCAAGGCCGCGTAAACACCCCCGTTTTCTTCTTTTGTAATGCATCTACCAACACCCCCATCCCGCTTCAATGTCGTCGCGTCTACTGCAGGAGGAGGAGGACGGGCCAAAACGAACAGTGGTACACCAGCATGTGGGTAGCACGACTCTAGGATCAAGCCACTACTTACTCTCTTGACGTGACGGAACTGGAACTGGAGTCGACCAAAATATTCGACGACATTTGTAGGAGGCTGGGGTCCTATTTCCCAGGATCAAGTTGGGGATTCTGCCTACTTTGGACCTAATGCTAGGCACTGATCATTATGCACTTGGCGCCAGCACAGCACGAGTCGAGTGCGGTCGGTGGCACCAGTACAAGGCGGCGACCGATGCCGTCTTCGCGTGGCGCCAGAAGGCAAACGGCGCCAAGAAGGCCAACAAGAAGAAGCCGCACGTCCTCCGCGCTCTAGGTACCATACTGGGCACTCCCGCGTGACGAAGCCACATGCTCTTTCTGGGCCTGCTCCGCACCATCCAAGCCAAGCTCGCGCCGCTGGCCACAACCACGAGAAACAACCCGCGCCTCGACAATGTCTCGAATGCTCTCGCCATCGACGACAATGACAACGACGATGACGATGACATGCCGCCGTTTGGCGTCGCGCAGTACACGCGAGTCCGACGCCTGACGAGGCGTCTCGCAGCATACGAAGCCGCCCAGTTTCGCGCCGCCTGCTACTCTATGAACATGGACGAGCTCATGAGTGTCCTCGCCGACTACAGCGACGCGCTTCGGACGCTCGTGTTGCAGCACGACGTGCCGAAGCTGTCGCCTTCCTCAACAAGTTGCTGCAAAAGCTCGCCAAGCCCAAGACGGTCGTGGACGAAGTGCGCCGCTGGGTCGCTACGAATGCCACGTCGGGCGCCGCAGACCTCGAAGCCCTTGTGTGGCGCGACGCTCGGATGAAGGACTGGCATGGACGCGCCATCTCGGCGACCTCATCACGATCGAGCGCGGGTTCATTCCTTGTGCCTGGAGGCAGTAATACCTGATACAACCCCAGAGTTTGCCACCTTGTGGCCGCTCACCGAGACCGAGACGTGTGCGCCGGTGTCGTCGAAGCAGCTGCGAACGACGTTTATGGTATGTCATACTGGCTCTTCATCGGTGTGTCCGGCAACGCACCGCTCCCGAGTCGCGGCTGCGAGACATGAAGGCCATTCGCGACATCGTCGACGACGAGCGGTGACAATTCCTCAACATTGACCTCAACCAAGTCGGCCTCGTGTATTTCGAGCCATGTACTCTGAGGCGGTCGAGACCCTGGGCTACCGACCCGCGAAGACGTCCCGCTACCACCCGATGCTCCCCGAGACTCGGAACAACAACCAGCAGTCGGACATGATGACGTGTGCGAGCGGCTTCTTCGTGCACTGCGGCAGGTCCCTTGACTCGCCCAAGCCAACGTCGTCTTGGTGCATCTTGGTGCACATACGAGGTCATCTAACAGCCGCCAAGCCCAGGCGGACAAGCACTGAAGAGGCACTAGAAGGGTCGCAACGATGCTAATGCGTGGGGGGCGCCCCAGGTCAGTTGGTAAAGTTTCTGCTTCGCATCCCGAAGGTCGCCGGTTCGAGCCCGGCTGCGCGCGCGCATTTTTCCGTTCTCCGCCCCCCTCCTCTCTGCGTCGCGCGATGTATCCGAACAGGGCCGAAACCAGATGGGTCGTCAAGGCCACCTCCGCAAGTGTCACCCAGAACACATGATGACGAAAGCTGCTACTCCAACAACAGACCTAGATGAGACAATTTCTTCCAGCGAGCTCTGCTCATTAAATT